CGAACTTTTGAATTTCAATTCCTGTTTGGCCACCGTGGCAAGCTGCAGGTGACCATGCAGAGCTTATCAGCAGAGGTGACCATGATGGAGTCCCAGAATTGCAAAAGAGCTCCAGCATGGACCAAACGGGAGGTACGGGATCTGATCGCTGTATGGGGAGAGGAATCCATGCTATCAGAACTCCGTTCCAGTTTTCGAAATGCCAAAACATTTGTCAAAATCTCCCAGGGCATGAAGGACAGAGGCCGTAACAGGGACCCGAACCAGTGCCACGTGAAACTTAAGGAGCTGAGGCAAGCCTACCAGAAAACCAGAGAGGTGAACGGCCACTCCAGGTCAGAGCCCCAAACATGCCGCTTCTATGATGAGCTGCATGCCATTTTAGGGGGTTCAGCCACCACTACCCCAGCTGTGTTGTTTGACTCCTTCAATGGAGATGGAGCCAACATGGAAGCAGGGTTTGGGGACGAGGAAGAAGATGATGATGAGGTTGTAGATAGCTCACAGCAAGCAAGCGGAGAAACCGGTTTTCCCGACAGCCAGGAACTGTCCTGGACCTGGAGCCAGTACCCCCTGAACCCACCCAAGGCTGCCTCCCGGACCCGCCAGGAGGAGAAGGGACCTCTGGTGAGTGTACCTTTTAAAATACTATACATGGTTTAAAAGCAAGCATGTTTAATGATTAATTTGCCCTGGCATTCGTGGCTCTCCTGGGTATACTCCCAAAGCCTTTGCAAAAGGTTTCTGGGGAAGGCAGCCTTATTGCGTCCTCCATGGTAGGATGCTTTACCACTCCAGGCCAGTAGCACGTACTCGGGAATCATTGTAGAACAAAGTATTGCAGTGTATGTTTGCTGGCGTTCAAACAACATCCGTTCTTTATCTCTCTGTGTTATCCTCAGGAGAGTGATATCATTCATGGTCACCTGGTTGAAATAGGGTGCTTTTCTTAAGGGGACACTCAGAGGTGCCCGTTCCTGCTGGGCTGTTTGCCTGTGGCTGAACAGAAATGTTCCCCGCAGTTATCCACGGGGAGGGTGGAGGGGCTAGCCACGCGCTGGGGGGAGGCAAAATGCTACCTTGTAACGAAAGCACGTGTGCTATGTATGTAATGTTAACAGCAAGGTGTACTGTGAAAGAGTGTACCCATTGTTCTATAAAATGTGTCTTTTTAAAATACCACTGTCCCTTTTTTTTTCTCCACCAGCTGCATGTGTTTCAATGATCACAGGATTGTCTCCTTCCCAGAAGCTAGCGAAGATTAGAAGGCGAAAAAAACGCACTCGTGATGAAATGTTCTCTGAGCTCATGCTGCCCTCCCACACTGACAGAGCACAGACGAATGCATGGAGGTAGACAATGTCAGAGTGCAGGAAAGCACAAAATGACCGGGAGGAGAGGTGGTGGGCTGAAAGGTGACGGCAGCGTGATGAGAGGAGGCAGGATTCAATGCTGAGGCTGCTGGAGGATCAAACCAATATGCTCCAGCGTATAGTTGAGCTGCAGGAAAGGCAGCTGGAGCACAGACCGCTGCTACAGCCCCCGTGTAACCAACCACCCTCCTCCCCAAGTTCCATAGCCTCCTCGCCCAGACGCCAAGAATGCGGTGCGGGGGCCTCCGGCCACTCAGCCACTCCACCACAGAGGATTGCCCAAGCAACAGAAGGCTGGCATTCAATAAGTTTTAAAATTGTAAACTTTTAAAGTGCTGTGTGGCCTTGTCCTTCCCTCCTCCACCACCTCTCCTGGTGCTTCTCTCCTCCACCACCCCTCCTGGGCTACCTTGGTAGTTATCCCCCTATTTTTGTGATGAATGAATAAAGAATGCATGAATGTGAAACCACAATGACTTTATTGCCTCTGCAAGTGGTGATCGAAGGGAGGTGGGAAGGGTGGTTAGCTTACAGGGAAGTAGAGTGAATCAAGGGGCGGGGGGTTTCATCAAGAAGAAACAAACAGAACTTTCACACCGTAGCCTGTCCAGTCATGAAACTGGTTTTCAAAGCTTCTCTGATGCGCACCGCGCCCTCCTGTGCTCTTCTAACCGCCCTGGTGTCTGGCTGTGCGAAACCAGCAGCCAGGCGATTCGCCTCAACCTCCCACCCCGCCATAAACTTCTCCCCCTTACTCTCACAGATATTGTGGAGCGCACAGCAAGCAGTAATAACAGTGGGAATATTGGTTTCACTGAGGTCTAACCGAGTCAGTAAACTGCACCAGCGCGCTTTTAAACATCCAAATGCACATTCTACCACCATTCTGCACTTGCTCAGCCTGTAGTTGAACAGCTCCTGACTACTGTCCAGGCTGCCTGTGTACGGCTTCATGAGCCATGGCATTAAGGGGTAGGCTGGGTCCCCAAGGATAACTATAGGCATTTCAACATCCCCAACAGTTATTTTCTGGTCTGGGAATAAAGTCCCTTCCTGCAGCTTTTGAAACAGACCAGAGTTCCTGAAGATGCGAGCGTCATGTACCTTTCCCGGCCATCCCACGTTGATGTTGGTGAAACGTCCCTTGTGACCCTTGCAGCACTATTTAAAAGTACCCCTTGCGGTTTATGTACTCGCCGGCTTGGTGCTCCGGTGCCAAGATAGGGATATGGATTCCATCTATTACCCCACCACAGTTAGGGAATCCCATTGCAGCAAAGCCATCCACTATGACCTGCACATTTCCCAGGGTCACTACCCTTGATATCAACAGATCTTTGATTGCTTTGGCTACTTGCATCACAGCAGCCCCCACAGTAGATTTGCCCACTCCAAATTGATTCCCGACTGACCGGTAGCTATCTGGCGTTGCAAGCTTCCACAGGGCTATTGCCACTCACTTCTCAACTGTGAGGGCTGCTCTCATCTTGGTATTCATGCACTTCAGGGCAGGGGAAAGCAAGTCACAAAGTTCCATGAAAGTGCCCTTACGCATGCGAAAGTTTCGCAGCCACTGGGAATTGTCCCAGACCTACAACACTATGTGGTCCCACCAGTCTGTGCTTGTTTCCTGGGCCCAGAATCAGCGTTCCACGGCATGAACCTGCCCCATTAGCACCATGATGCCCACATTGGCAGGGCCCATGCTTTGAGAGAAGTCTGTGTCCATGTCCTCATCACTCACGTCACCGCGCTGATGTCACCTACTCGCCCGGTATCGCTTTGCCAGGTTCTGGTGCTGCATATACTGCTGGATAATGCGTGTGGTGTTTAATGTGCTCCTAATTGCCAAAGTGAGTTGAGCGGGCTCCATGCTTGCCATGGTATGGCGTCCGCACAGAAAAAAGGTGCGGAACGATTGTCTGCCATTGCTCTGACGGAGGGAGGGGCGACTGATGACATGGCTTACAGGAATTAAAATCAACAAAGGGGGTGGCTTTACATCAACGAGTATTTCAGGCAGGACTTCATGGAGGGAGCAAATAAGTACAAAACAAATCTGGTCTATTTCTTGTTTTGATCCACTCCACCTATCTTTTACATCTTTGGCTGGCAGCAGATGGTGCAGAAGGACTGCAAGCCATCCACATCTCTTGGCTGCTCGGCAGAAGATGGTACAATAGGACTGCTAGCCGTCCATATTGCCTGCCTGCTCACCAAAAGATGGTAGGATAGGACTGCCTGCAGGACTAAAGAGAGTGACCTGATCGAGTCACTCCTAATGTAGTCCCTGCACCCATGTCTGCCCAGGCGCTCCTGGCTGACGTGGCCAGGAGCACCTCGGACATGACGATGACGGGTACCCGTCCTCTTGTACTGCCTCGTCTGCTGCCACAAGGCAATGGGTTGCTGCTGCTGTGTAGCAATGCAGTACCGCGTCTGCCAGCACCCAGGAGACATATGGTGACAGTGAGCTGAGCGGGCTCCATGCTTGCCGTGGTATGGCGTCTGCACAGGTAACTCATGAAAAAAGGCGCGAAACGATTGTCTGCCGTTGCTTTCACAGAGGGAGGGAGGGAAGGAGGGCCTACTGACATATACCCAGAACCACCCGTGACAATGTTTTTTGCCCCATCAGGCATTGGGATCTCAACCCAGAATTCCAATGGACAGCGGAGACTGCGGGAACTGTGGGATAGCTACCCACAGTGCAACACTCCGGAAGTTGACGCTAGCCTCGGTACTGTGGAAGCACTCCGCCGAGTTAATGCACTTAGAGCATTTTGTGTGGGGACACACACAATCGACTATTTAAAAACGATTTCTAAAAAACCAACTTTTATAAATTCGACCTAATTTCGTAGTGTAGACATACCCTCTGAAATGTTCGTAACCCTGTACAAAACATTATGGTGGTTCTTTTAAAAGTTTACAACTGAACATTGACTTAATAGAGCTTTGAAACTTTACTATGCAAATGAAAAATTCTGCTTTCCCTTTTTTTTAGTAGTTTACGTTTACGTACTGCACTGTATTTGCTTTTTTTTATTTGGTCTCTGATGCTGCCTGATTGTGTACTTCCAGTTCCAAACAAGGTATATGGCTGACTGGTCAGTTTGTAACTCTGGTGTTCGTAACTCTGATGTTCTTCTGTAGTTAAATGGAAAGTAAAAGGTAAAGTCACAAAAGTGAAATTCCTGCAAGCTGCATGAAAACTTTAAAAAAACCCGCCATAATAAAATCTCAGATTAAATGTATATCCCAAATTAAAAATACATAGTAAGAGGACCAAAAACGAGTCACCATGGCTAAACAAAGTAAGAGAAGCAGCAGTTAGAGGCAAAAAGGCATCCTTTAAAAATTAGAAGTCAAATCCTACTGAGGAAAATGGAAAGGAGCAAAACTCTGGCAAGTCTAGTGTAAAAGTATAATTAGGCAGGGCAAAAAAGAATTTGAAGAGCAACTAGCAAAATACTCAAAAACAAACAGCAAAAAAAATGTAAATACATAAAAAGCGGGCCAAACAGTCAGTAGGGCCACTGGACAATCAAGGTGCTAAAGGAGCACTTGAGAAAGATAAGGCCATTGTCGAGAAGCTAAAAGAATTCTTTGCATCAATCTTCACTGCCAAGGATGTGAGGGAGAGTCCCAAAGCCTGAGCCATTCTTTTTAGGTGACAAATCTGAGGAACTGTTCCTGATTGAGGTGTCAATAGAGGTTTTGGAACAAATTGATAAATACACAATAATAAGTCACCAGGATCAGATGGTATTCACCCAAGAGTTCTGAATGAACTCAAATGTGAAATTGCAGAACTATTAAGTGTGGTATGTTAACCTATCATTTAAATCAGCTTCTGTACCAGATGACTGGAGGAGAGCTAATGTGATAACAATTTTTGAAAAAGGCTCTAGAGGCAACCCATCGGTGCTAGGCCAATTGGTTGAAACTATAGTGAAGAACAGAATTATCGGACACACAGATGAACACGATTTGTTGGGAAAGTGTCAGCATGGCTTTTGTAAAGTGAAGCCATTCCTCACCAATCTATTGAACAGTGGTTTTCAAGCTGATGTCCATGGACCTCTGGGGGTCCGCAGGCTACGTCTAAGGGGCCTGTGAAAGGTTGTCATTACCATAGAGCAGTGGTTTTCATCCTTTGGTCCGCGGCCCTCTGCAGCTTCGCAGACTATCTAAGATTGCCAGAGGGGTCCACATCTCCCTTTGACATTTTTTAGGGGTCTGCAAATGAAAAAAGGTTGAAAATCACTGTATTAGAATTATTTGAGGGGGTCAACAAATGTGTAGAAGGTGATCCAGTGGATATAGTGTACCTGAACTTTAAGAAAGCCTTTGACAAGGTCCCTCACGGAAGACTCTGATGCAGTCATGGGATAAGAGAGACAGTGCTCTCATGGTCAGTAGCTGGTTAAAAGACAGGAAACAAAGGGTAAGAATAAAAGATCAATTTTCATAATGGTGAGAGAGTGGTGTCCATATTCATAAAGGATCTGGAAAAAAGCCTAAACACTGAGGTAGCAAAATTTGCAGACATACAAAATTATACAAGATAGTTAAGTCCAAAGCAGACTGTGAAGAGTTACAAAGGGATCTCAGAAAACTGGGTGACTGGGCAACAAAATGGCAGATGAAATTAAGTGCTGATAAATGCAAAATAATGCACATTGGAAAACATAATAAAAGCCATACATACAAAATGATGGGATCTAAATTAGCTGTTACCACTCAAGAAACCCATTGTGGAGTCTTTGTGGTTAGTTCTATGAAAACATTCACTTAATGTGCAGAGGCAGTCAAAAAAGCTAACAATGTTAGCAACCATTAGGAAAGGGATAGATAATACAGTAAGACAGAAAATATCATACTACCATGATATATACCAATGGTACATCCAAAGCTTGAATACTGCATGCAGTTCTGGTCACCTCATCTCAAAAAAGATACAAGAGAAGGGCAACAAAAATGATTAAGGGTATGAAACAGCTTCCCTATGAGGAGAGATTTAAAAGACTGGGATTTTTCATCTTGGAAAAGGGATGACTAAGGGGGGAAATATGACAGATATCTATAAAAACTTGAATGGTGTGGAGAAAGTGACTAAGGAGGTGTTATTTACTTCTCCATTAAGGTAAGAACTAGGGATCACCAAATGAAATTAATAGGCAGCAGGTTTAAAACAAAAGGAATGTTAAAACAAAAGGAATTCACACAATGCACATTCAACCTGTGGAACTCATTGCCAGGGGATGTTGTGAGGGCCAAAACTATAATGGGGTTCACAAAGAATGAGATAAATTCATGGATGATAGGTCCATCAATAGCTATTAGCTTAAATGGTCAGGGATGCAACCCCATGCTCTGGGTGGCTGTAGCCTCTGACTTCTAGAAGCTGGGAGTGGACGACAGGTGACGGATCACTCCATGATTGCCTGGTCTGTTCATTCCCTGTGAAGCACCTGCCATTGGCCACAGTGAGAAGACAAGATACTGGGTTAGATGGATCATTGGTCTGACCCAGTATGGCCATTCTTATGTGTTACCTAACTTTTGAGGGTTTGACTTTCTTTTAATTTATCTTTAATTTTTTGGGGGGGATTATTAGAATGAATGAGAATAATTAGTTAAATTAGGGTAAAAATGTATATAGAGATCTAATCCCTTTCTGCTTTAGGGCATAATAAATAAACCAACCACAAACTGGATTAAGAACAAATTTAACTTGTGAGATTATTCCATAACTGCAAACAAAACCCCAAAACAAAAGCCATAATGGATACCTTCCTCTTAAGCATCTGAGACTGGTGGAAATGGAATATTGAATTACGTGTGCCACCAGTCTGATCTGATACTGCACGTCCTGTGTTCCTGTCTGCAGACTCAGGCAGACAGTGTTGCGTTGTGGTCACATCCGGAAGGTTCTTTCATAACCATAAGGACTAAACTTTTGTTTTTAACGAAAGCTTAAATTCTATAGCGAGTAAAGAGAAAAGGAGTACTTGTGGCACCTTAGAGACGAACCAATTTATTTGAGCATAAGCTTTCGTGAGCTACAGCTCACTTCATCGGATGCATGCAGTGGAAAATACAGTGAGGAGATTTATGTACACACAGACCATGAAAAAATGGGTGTTTATCATACACATTGTAAGGAGAGTGATCACTTAAGATGAGCTATTACCAGCAGGAGAGTGGGGTGGGGGGAGAGAAAACCTTTTGAAGTGATAATCAAGGTGGGCCATTTCCAGCACATTTTCAGGAGTTAACAAGAACGTCTGAGGAACAGTGGCGGGATGGGAGGGGGGGAATAAACAAGGGGAAATAGTTTTACTTTGTATAATGACTCAACCACTGCCAGTCTCTATTCAAGCCTAAGTAATAGCTCATCTTAAGTGATCACTCTCCTTACAATGTGTATGATAAACACCCATTTTTTCATGGTCTGTGTGTACATAAATCTCCTCACTGTATTTTCCACTGCATGCATCCGATGAAGTGAGCTGTAGCTCACGAAAGCTTATGCTCAGATAAATTGATTAGTCTCTAAAAAATGCCACAAGTACTCCTTTTCTTTTTGCGAATACAGACTAACACGGCTGCTACTCTGAAACCTGTCTATAGCGAGTGTTTTTCAGACTGCTCCTGAGTGGATTTGTCACATCCAGTTCTAAATAAGCGTGTCAAAATGTCCTTAAAATATCCCAGATTCTGCTTTATATCTATATTTTAGGTAAGAAAGGCCCAGGTCTGGGGACTTACGACTCTAGGAAAGACTGGGCCCAGGGAAGGAGGATGGAGGGAATGAGGTGTCTCTGTTACTGCTCCTCAGACTACTAAAATGCTTTCACGTAGGGGCCAAAAAGTGATTAGTAAAAGGAACAGGAAAACAAGGTGGGTGCAAAGCTTGTTTGATCTCCGTGTGTCCCCCAGGCAAGACAGGTCTCTCCCTGTATCCCACAGTGAACACTGGGGGAGGAGGGTCTCTTCCCCCCTTTAGATAATGCTATGGGGATGGAGATCTCCCTTCTCCCCCTCCCACAGATAAGGCTGTGAGCTCCTTCTCCCTCCCTCTCCCCACGAGAGTACTGCAGCTTTCTCTCTGTCTCTGTCAAGGCCTCCACAGAGAACACTCCAGGTCTCCAGCTTCTGCCTGAGCGTGAATGGTTTCCTTGTTCCTGGGCACTGAGACCCTGCGCTGCCTCCTGTGGGTCCCACTCTGTGGGAATAGGGACACTCAGGGCATTCTCAGGGGGTTGGTGTGTGCTATGAGAGTAGGTCATTGTGAGGTGCACAAGCCATGTTTTCTGGGACAGAAGGAGTTAACTTTCCTAGTCCATCCTTCCTCACCCTCCTTCTCTCCCTCCCTCCCTCCCTCCAGCTGCTGCCTTTTGAGTCCTGCAGCTAGGCCAGGGGCTGACCTTCACAGAGAGAGTTTGCTCACTGAGCATGCTCACTTCCTTCTGCTGGCTCTCATCTGCTCCAGGGACCCCAGTGCTCACAGGCAGCGTCCTGCTGGGAAGGAATGTGTACAGCACATCCCGGCTCCAGGCTCACCACAGGTCAGGGGCCCAGGCTGCCTTTGTGCTCCAGCTGTGGGACCACTAGCTCCTGCTCCCTGGCTCTCCCTGCCTGCACTGCTGGGAGAAAAGCCGTTGCCATTTGGTGCTGTTGGTGCTTCAGTGACTGAAGGAGAGATGGGGGGACATTAAGGGGGATTCCTGTTTTGACTGCTGCAGCAGCCAGCACTGGCTGAGGCAAGGCGTAGCCCTACACCACAAGACACTCCTTTCACACATTCATTGCTCAAATACTACAGTGACGGGGGGCTGAGTAGGGATGGGGGTGCGTTTATGATAAATAGATTTGGATGAGGTTCTGCTTTTTGTGGCATTGGGATGAAGGTCTATCATAAACTTGTGGGAGTGCTATAAACACCTGAAACAGAGGAGCTAGACAATAAATGTCTTTTCTTACATCAGCTAGGCTGATTCTGGAGAGCTGTGTCTTTGCAACCTCATGTCTTGCCGTGTGGCTGAGTGACAGCAGTTTTAATGTCCTCTGTGTGTGTTGAGCCTTTGTATCTGCCTGTATATTTGTGTGTCTGTCTGTGTAAATGATGTATTTATCTTTTTTGTTTAGATATATTTGATTATATAAGGGGGAAACTATATTAGAAGGGTTATTTATTATAGCTCCCATCCAATCATACAGAAGATGGGAATGAATTAGGAGATTTTTATATCTATTTCATATTGTGATCTCTCTGAGGCTGGAATTGTTAATAGATTCATAGAGTTTAAGGCCACAAGGGACCGTTAGATCATATAGTCTGACCTCCTGGATAGTACAGACCAGTATATTTCACCCCATTACCCCTGCATTGAGTCCAGTCACTCGTTAGCTAATGTATCTTACAGGAAGGCATCCAGTCTGGATTTGGTTAATTAACTCTGTGTTAGTTATTGGTATAGTGATTAATAAAATGGGCACTAATTGGGATCCAAATTAGAAATAATAGGAATACCTTTAGAGAGAGATGTTTCAATAATCCTATTGCTACTGAAGTTGGTGATTTCCCCAAAGATGGCAGCAACCAGAGATGGATGTGTTTTGTGATGAGGACTTGGCAGTGTTTGTTGTGCTACCACAAAGGGCTAGACAAAGGGCTAGAAAGGATGGCCCATGCATTTCAGTATGCTTTTGGGACCTGAAAGGGAGATGAGACTGAAGAGATACAAGCCAGATGCTGCCTCACCAAAAATGGAGGAGACACACAGTTGTCTGAAACCAGATCACAGGTGTGTTTTGTCTAAGCCACAGACAATATCTCAGGAATGGGTGATCTGCTGGATGAAGACATGCTGGTCTGCTGGGCAGGTTCCTTCTGAGAGAGCTAGTTGACAGAAGATCCCATCTTCCTAGCATTTCTGGTATTCCTGCAGAGATCCCTGGGTACTAGTGCTTGGGTTAGGGCCACGCTGAAGAGTTAAGAAGTCCTATTTCCCCTGTATGTGAGGGCCTGAGGGATTTGGGGAATTGATACATTAACCCAGAGATGCCTGTGACTTGCTGCTCAGTTCCAGCTTACTCAGTATTTCCTCTAAAAAGAAAAGGAGTACTTATGGCACCTTAGAGACTAACCAATTTATTTGAGCATAAGCTTTTGTGAGCTACAGCTCACTTCATCGGATGCATACTGTGGAAAGTTCCGATGAAATGCAGCCGATGAAGTGAGCTGTAGCTCACGAAAGCTTATGCTCAGATAAATTAGTTAGTCTCTAAGGTGCCACAAGTACTCCTTTTCTTTTTGCGAATACAGACTAACACGGCAGTTACTCTGAAACCAGTATTTCCTCTGTGGGTTTGGTTCTCAGTACAATGGTCTAGGCAGTGATATATTTGAGATCAGGTCATTTCCCTGCTCATAGTCTGACCAGACAATTCTTAGCCCCTAAACAAGAATCTCCAGCTGAAGAATAGGATAAACCCCTCTTGTAACCTGGCAACATCTCCTGTATTGCTGTGGTAGGCAAACAGCAAAATGTCAACCCTTCACAAGCTGCAGACATGCAAGAAGCAGTCAGTAAGCAGATTGCTGCCCCAGGCCACCACTGTCCATTCTACTATTATGGAAGAGCCAGCCCTGCTGAGAAGGGAATGGCTGCTATGTCTGTCTACAGTCACTGAATTGCCAGTGTCTAACTCATTTGCTGGGTGAAGTCTTAGGGCATCTGCAGTATGAAATGGGCTGTAAAATCTATATTACCTCAGCCACTTTGTCACTCTAATGCCCTGGAGTTGATATGGCCACAACAACACTGCATACATATGTAAAATCCATAGTCAATGTCTTTTTACTTTACCCATCTCTTCTTTTTCACTTAACTGGGCGTGGCAGGTATACTCCATGTTTCCCATAGTATGCAGCTTTTATTTCCTGGGGAAGACATGCTTTCTTGTTTACATTAGGCTTTTTGTTACACCTGGCTTGATATTTATGCTTAATGGCACGCATGGTGTTATTGTTTGTGCCCATCAATCACCTTTGAGGTGTCTGTCACTCTAGTATGTAAGAATTAGGGCAGGTCACCCTGGCAAGGTTATGGGGGCATTGTAGAAGGGGAGCAGCAAATCAAGCAGCATGCCTCAGTCACTAGCTCTATGCTACATCCACTCCTTTTTTCACAGACTCCCCTTCTCTGTGTCCTTTTTCTGTTCTGTCTCTCTCTATCACACACACACACGCACGTTCTCACACTCTTTCTTACACACACACACACACACACACACACACACACACACTCACTCTTCCCAGCTCTCTCTCTCCTGCTATTTCTCTTTCTTGTCTAAAGGGCTTAGTTCTCAGTCTCATTTGCTGGAAATGCTGCCAGTGAATGTTTGTGTGTGCTGCCTGCCAGGTCTCTGGGGAAAAGGCCTGGAAATACAGTGCAGGAGGAGTAGTGGGAGCAGGGGAAAGCCATTGTTTCTCACTGCTTGCTTGGTGCATTTTCCAACTGGAAAAATCTCTCTGTGAGGACTGAGTTTCATGTCATTGCCGAAGCCCTGCCCCCCCATCCCATTGCTCAGAATCTGCCATCCCCTCATGCTGAGGAGGAGAGGTTGCCGTACTGCTACTAAAAAGCTCAGACGTGTTTTCAGTTTGCCTCCTGCTTATCTCTGTTGTTTGGACAGAGAGGTTTAAAAAGCTGGATTTTCTGTCCCTGCAGAGTAAACACAGAGAACCCGGCAGCACAAACTATTTCTGGCTTATCAGTTGAGGAATGCAGCAGCTGAGGATTAGCGTGAGTGGGCCGTCAGGAAAGCCCTGAAGGGGCCCCCTCCTCACTCAGCTCTATTAGAAGTGTGAGAGCCCAGCAGGACTCAGAGGGGAGAGTTGGAGAAAAAGGCAGAAAAGGGAAAGAAAGAGGAAGAGAGAGAGTGAGAGAGGCTGAGCAGACCCTGATGGCTACAGATGAAGTTACAGGAGGGGCTCGCAAAGCTACGAAAAGCAAACTTTTTGAGTTTCTGGTCCATGGGGTGGTGAGTCGGGAAAGTTAGTGAGCTGGCTTGGTCTGAATAGAGGAGTGAGTGGAGACTGGAGGCTCTGTGGTGGGCTGAAAGCAGCCCCTACAATATCTTCTGGGGGCTTCGGCGAAATGCCATATACTAGAACACAGAGATCTGTGAAGCCCCCAGAACATGCACGGAGTCATTGATAAAACAGGGTTGGGTTTGGGGGAATGTGTGCTGCAATTTCTGCTCTTGACTCTCCATGAATGGTGAATGGTTTGCTTTTGAACCTGATCACAGTGCAGGGTTTGAACTGGTTCTGACCCTAATGGGCTCATTGGACACTTGGTTCTGTTGTCAAACTTTTGTGTGTTGTTTGTTTTTTAATTCTGATGAAAGCCCAGTAAAGCTTTGAATGGTGCTGCCTCTGGTACTTGTCTTATACTTAGCTCTTCTCTATCTTCTGGCTACCTAACAGGTGGCTTTGAGGGGTTCTAAGAGATTAGCTCTGCAGGTCCTTAGCAGTCCATAGGCACTCATTGGTTAGGGAATCTTAGATGGTTTGGGTGCTATGCTTTAAGGAATCATTAAATCTTTATAAGATTACTACAGTGTTTGGAGACCTCCTGACACTCAAGCTCTCCATTTATGGGGAATTGCAAGCCCCTATCCCACCATTATTGGAGAACATGTTCTGCAGATGTTCCTGCCAGTGATTGAGAACAATCACAGCTTATGACATTGGGATTTCTTAAGGAGACTTTAAATTTAGCAAACATCAGAGTACTGGAAAGTCGTAGGAGTACAAATGCTGAATGAATTTCAATGATCATGTGAACTTTCTCTTTTGAGGTCTCCCTGCTATGACATTTCCAAGACATCAGCTGAGGGCTTCTATATCAAGATCACAGGAATCTTAAGCGCTCACTTTTCAGATTCCCTAAGTGTCTCCATAATTCAGGACATGCCAATCCTGGCTGTTTAGAGTGTAATTTGTAATTTACAAACATTAGATACAGTGAGATCTGCAAGGCTAGGGACATTGAAGTGGTATGCTGTTTGTGTAAGAACTGAGAGATGGTGACCATTGTACTTGTGTCCTACAGAACTAGTTAAGGAATATATTGTGAGAATACACCTGATATATTGGGCTGGCCTGTGGAGTGGCTTGGCAGTGCATGTGTGGGTGGACATGCAGGTGTGGCCTGGTGGTGGGGGGTAGTGAGCGGGCATGTGGGCAGGGGCATCTGGGTTTCAGATGTGCAGGCATGCGGGGGTGGTATGGCAGTTGGCAGACATGCAGGTGTGGCCTGGTGGTAGGTAGGTGGGTGGGAATACTTGGGGTGGGTGGACATGCGTGGGTGGCCTGGCAGGTGGGAGCAGCCTGGCAGCAGGCAGGGAATCATCTGGGGGTGGCCTGGAAGCAGATGGCTGGGGATGATTTAGTTGGGGATTGGTCCTGCTTTGAGCAGGGGGTTGGACTAGATGACCTCCTGAGGTCCCTTCCAACCCTG